GTATATAAAATATGGCACAAAGACCATTTTTTCCTCCTTGAAGTTGCTATATATTTTATCAACCAATCCCATATTTGAGGACCACAGCTGACCGACATTACTTCACAGCTGGACGTTTTAACAATTTGTTGGACACATAAATTCCCTTGTGCTTATGGTGCCAGCTCACAGTCAGCTGAATTCCTGTTACCCATATGTTAACAAACACTGACTATTAATATAGCTCAGGAAAAGGAGAACAGCCTTTTGTCTAGATTACTGTAGATTTTACTTCCTCACATTAGGGTCAGTATTGTTTTTGATATCCTAAATCCATCAGCTATAGAAGATTTTATGAGGAGCTGCAAATAAATTAAGGGTATTGTGGGTTGATTCATATCTTGTTCAACCAGAAGATTTTATCTACCTTACACGAGGTGTGTAACTGCACTGGGTGAACATTTTTACACTGTACTTGTGGCATGCAAAGTGCAGAGTGAGAATGAATACAGCAGAAGGCAAAGCTGAGTTCATCCGCCCTGTCTTGTCTCATATGGGGCAGTTATTATCAAGATGTCTCACTGCAAGATCAGACTCATGAACCACAAACTCTGCATTGAGCTTGCTGATCACAACCACAGACCCAGATGGTATATACTAAATGTGTTGTGTCAGGTAATCTTTGATGTGCAAACTGGGGAGAGAGTCAGTAATAACTGTTCCACCCACATTAACTTCATGAACAGCAAATGTAAGCAACTCTGCAACGTGTAACCCTTAACATGCAACATGCTCGGGATACACCAGTAGAAGCCACAACTGCCCACTTGGATTAAATAACACTGTCTCATAACAAAAGATGTCTTCTGAAATCTGTACTACTTATGCACTTAATGGCCTGTTTGAGTCACGGCCTAGCTAAAATTAATGCAGTCAAATTCATCAGTCATGCAATAAATCTTACCTTCTTAAAAGGTATAATGCTCAGTATTTGATTTTAGACAGGTATTGAGTCAAGATTATGCTAATGTCTTTTATAGTTTGGCTCTACAGTATAGTATATAGGAGTGCTGTTACATTTCATTGTGTCATACTAAGAGGTGTTTCTGATATTTTGTCTACTTTACTTCTATCAAGGAGGATAAACTAATTCTTTGAAACAGCTCTCAGTATAGTATAAAACAATACGGCAATGCCACAAACACTCCAAAATGTCCATAAAGAATCAATATCTCTGTTTGGGTTTTAGCAAAAACTGAATATTATAACCATCAAGAAGGCAGGATTTATTGCAGGACAGTTAGTTTTAGTTAACGCAAGAGCAAGGCAGTCACAGAGGGTGAGGTTTCTGAACCGACAAAGTCATGCTTGATTTTATGAACATTATAACACAAAGTCAAACTATGAGTTTATACTTTACACAGGAATGGAATATATATACTGCCTTTATACTGATGAAGCCTCTTGGATGAGAGGTGAAACGTCTTTGATCTAGAAATCTAAGTCCAGTTGATTTTTTCTAAGGTTTTTTCAATGGAATATATAGTTTTGGTAATAGCGTCACTTTATCTTGTGCACAGATATGCTTCATAATGTTGTCTGACTTTGGGTGTTTGCTTTAAAAGAGGGTGATCATGTGACTGGCATAAAAGGAAGCGAGTGTCTTGACTTATCAAACGTCATCCTGTGTGGGGGAAAAAAAGGCAGATGTTTCTGTGGAAAGCAGTTTGGAGAAGAGTAAGAGAAAGAATGAGGGAGGGATTTGTTAGTCACATATACTTGATAAGTCTGTATTATGAGGGGTGACAAGGATTTTCACTTTGTCTAGATGGGGTGAAGAGCCTGCTTTACTGGAACTCTGAGCTTACTGGGTATAAATAAAGAAAGTGAAATGGTATAGACAGAATAAATGAAATGACAGCACAGGAAACACCATTCAACTAAGTTTGCCGTTACTGTAACAGCATTAAGATTATAGGTCTTACTTATAGGAGAGGCATAAAAGTAAGTTTACAGAGGAGCCTGGAAACATCTGGAGATGAGGGGCATGATGTGGATTTGTGCTGTGATTCTCCTTTTGGTGTCTGAAGCTTGGAGCACGAAGCCAGGTTTGAAAATTACCACATTCTACTCGTATGTTATTTTAATACTCACCGCTTCTTAGTCTTGGTAAGATTTTTGATATAAACATGTTTTCGAAGGTGCATAAACCCTCTACAAAGAGACCAGTACATAAGTAGTTGTCTTTAATTTTAGATAGATACTAAGCAACATTATGTTACTACAACACCAGCGTTTTTCTTCTGGTACATAATGCTGTAAGAAATGCAGTCTTCTAGTATGAATGAATTGCTGTGATGCAACAAATATCATTCTGCCATAATACTCTAGTTCAGTACTGTGTACTACGTGACATTTTGGCAATCACTTGACAAGTTGTAAACTGTAATTTTAGCCACAATGAGATTTCTGTTAAACCGTGACTCACACTGTAGACAATGGAAAGAACGTGCATGAAGGTGGGGTAATGCAGAAGATAACTAGGGAGGAAACTGTTCCACTGAAGCTGTATGAAAAGGTTGCCCCATATTTTCTGAATGAACAAGCAGAGCACTGCCACTTGTTACTGCAGTGGAAATCATGTTTTCAGGTCAGGGTAGCATTATGATGCAGCTTTTCTCCACTGTGGTATCTCTGAGAGGTGAACGAGACGCCTCTGTTCAAGATCTGTGGTTATACAATCCCACTCCATACCGTATTTGGTTCACACTTGTTAGACGTAAACAAGTCTCAGACCCTCTTAGGATCCTTCTGTTAACATCTGTCAATGAACCCTGAAATTTCCAGCTCATTTCTTTAAAATAATAATGATGATGCCTGTTGTGCATTAACATTTGCCTGTTTTATAAGCTTAGGTTTTATTGTCAGTGAAATTACTACTCCAGCTGACTTTTTGTTTTTGAAGAGCTTAAAAAACTGTTCAAATACTGCAATTTGTCTCACAACTGTTTATTATTCAGCCCTGCTGCAGATTGGTATTGTCAGACTGGTTTTAATCACATCTCTTCACATCAATAACTAACTAACTGCAGTAACATAAACAGCACGATTGCTCCTTTTCTGATTGAACACCTCTGTATGAATGACTAGCTGCTGCTTTCTGTGAAAAATTTCTATATTATTTCACTAACCTTTTCCTCACGTGCACTGCCATCTCTCTCAGGAACTAATCATAGCACCTATGGGAACACCAGCACTTCTTCTCCTAAAGTTTATGGTAAACTCATTTCCCATTTTTCTCCCCAGCAGTTTGGCAGTATAAGTAAAATATTAAACATCAACTAATAATATTAATATCAAGTAAGACTAGGACAATATACTTTTTAGTTCTCATTTCCTTACTTGTCTTAATTTCAAAAATTCTGCATGTTTAGCTGAATGACTTGAAATAATGAATAAAATGCTTTAAAACTACTTAATTCTCAGTAGAACTGTTGTCGTTACTTTTAGTAGTGTATCAAGAAGTTGTTTCAACTTATTGCCCACGTTGAAAACATACTTACAAAACCACGGTCATTCAGTAAAATGTATGTGTGGATTTTCTTTTTAGCCTTGCATCATTGTTCTTGTATTTATTTACTATCATACTTTAGAGCTTTCAGTGAAGTGAAACAGATTTTTAGACTGATGGATATTAAATGTTTAATCTAAAATATTTGCTAAGAAGGATTTCTCACACAACATCTCTTTATGATGTTGTTTTATTGTCAAGAACTAGATGGTTTATTTCGGAACAATGTTTCTATGTGTCATCATGCTACATCTTGCTATTCATATATATATTTGTTTTATTTTCTTTTCAAAACTGAATGTGTTTTTGATCTATTATTATTGTTGTTGTTGGTTTGCAAGTGTTGGGTTTAGGGCATGCTTTCTAACTGAATAAGCCTAAACCATTTAGTCACTATGTGGAACAATAATGCAACTTTTATTTCTTTTACTTCAGCTGCCAGACATTTAACTTTCAACAAGGGGAGTGATGCTGCCCTGACTTGCAGCAATAAGACATGGGATAAGATGATATATGTTATCTGGAATATATACTTGAAAACCAAAACGTGTAAGATAGGCTTTGAAAATGCCGGCCATATCAAAGACAACTGCACAGATGGCAAGTCACTCCAAAACACATCCAGCTTTCAGTCATACCTGCGCATCCCAAACTTCTCAGGAAATGATGTGGGAGTCTACAAGTGTGAGTCCGTTTACAGTGGAGGAAGCGAAAGCTATGAGCTCAACGTGACTATTACAGGTAGGACTATTTTTCCCTTAACAATGACAGAGGAGTGGAAGGAGTCATATGAACAAGAAGGTTCACTTCTTAAACGGTCATTTCACTCAAATCACAAACAAAAATGTATTAAAACAGCAAATTCTGGTTTCTTGAAATAACATATATGGCTGCAGAAAGTTTTAATTTGATCATGTAATAGAAAATCATTTGTTCCCTTGAAAGACTTTGAAAAGTGTTATTTGACAGATCCAAAAGCAGGATGCCTGTTACTGTGGACAACTGTTGACCATTTTCTTTGAAGAAGGTTCACTTCTTAAACGGTCATTAACTTCTTAAACGGAACTGTTTTAGACTCAGAGTAAGAAATTGTGAAATTGTAAAAACATAAAACTGAGGCAAGCAATTAAAGACTAGATCTGCACTTGTATAATACAGATGCTGTTTTGTGGTTTTTAATACAGCAAACTTAACTGTTTGGCTAATCTTATTTGTCCTGTTTCAGTTCCTCCCAGTGTATCATCCTGGTTAGAGCAAAGGGACAGTAAAATGGTGGCTGTATGCAAAGCTGAAAGAGGAAAACCTGCTGCCAACATCAGCTGGAATCATCCGGAAAAGCCATCTAATGTGGTAAAAAATGAAACAGGTGGATTTATTACTGTAGAAAGTCATCTGGAGCTCCCTGAGGGCATGGACACAAGGAACCTGAGCTGTGCTATTGGGCACCAGTACTGGGAACAGGACAAGATTCTGAGACCAAAACCCAAACAAGGTAAGGCACATGCAGAATGAACAGCACAAGACAAAACGTGCAGAAGTTTGTCTGTTTAATGTTTTTTGAACAAATGCTGACTAGGTTTTAGATTGTAGTGGTACTGATCCTTATGTCATAAAGTATGTGGTGTTGATATCCGTTAGTTTATTACGCTGTGAATAAGTTTTAGTTTATTCAGTCGAGAAACGTAAGTTTCCCTGCTGACTGGTTTAACTGAACTCAGGTTAAAGTTATGAACAAGGTAAAAACAATGTTTAGTTACAGGTGTTACAGATACTTTTGCTTTCCTTTTACATTTCTAAGTTTAATGACATGGAGAACTTAGATCTACAGCTGTTGTAGCCTTGCATGCTGTAAAGATAGCATGCGAGGCTGCTCCCAGAGACTTAGTTAAATTTTAAATGTACAGGACTGAATTCAATACTAAGCTGAACAAACAGAACAACTGATAATTTTGAGTCCTGGTAGGTTCTAAGGTTTTACAATCGCAAAACGTGCACACTACTTTAGCAGGAATATGTGAGTCCACTACATTGCTGTGTAACAGACTTTTAATCTTCTATCTATAAACACTTTGACCTTTGACCTTATCTGTCACTGCAGGTTACATGTATGAGCTGTTCATACCCATTGTCGTGGTACTTGTTATATCTTTACTGGGAATCCTATATTTTGCAATAAAGAAACTATTAATGTTAAGGTAAGAAGTTTAATTTGATGAAAGAATCCTTATAATGAGTACTTGTGAGTTTTTTTTTGTTTGTTTTTTGAGTCACTGAGCTGGTTTCCATCTTTTCCACCAGGCAATGCCAGCAGGCAGGCAACTCACCATCCAAGTCTCAGCAAAGTTACCCGGTGGGCACTGTTTCTGTAACATATTGTTTATTTTATTGTTCTGTGTGTTTTACTGCACATTGTTGACCTTTATTCATGACACCACTGTTTTTTTTAGACCGAGGATGTGGAGGAAGTCGAGCCCTATGCCAGCTATGTTCAACGTGTGAACTGTATCTATAACTGAACTGCAGATTATTCACATAAAAGCCCTGCACATGCGTCATGCACATGCTTAAATTCATATGGCTCTGTGTGAGAAACTGAAGGTTGTGAAACTGAAAAGTGATGAAGTAGTAAATAGAGAGGAGTGAGAAGAAAGGCTTTCGAAAAGAGAAGACTCTCAATTCTGTCCTAGCAGGCTGATGGAACAGGGGATGTACCCAGTGTCTCCTACTAACTCCTATGCACAATACTCCATGTGTGGGTCTCATGGAGGACATTATTACAGTAATAACTACTCATGCATTGTGGCATGCCAACACTGCAGAACTACAGACTTTTGATACTGTTAATGAAACACAAGGCTGTAATTAGGTGTAATTATGCATATTTATACGTTAACTGTAAAGAGATTATTGCCTTTTGATAGGTTTTTGCCGCAGTCGTGCAGCAAAAACACATGTAATTCAATAGCCTCAAGATAATGAGCACAATAATATGTAATGTTTCCATGTTATGTGTTATTGCATAATGATGTGATTGTGTGTATTAAAAATACATCTAAACACAGTGAACACATTTTAGTTGCAGTCTCCAGAACGAATAAGAACTCTAGAAACAGGACAAAAGAACAAGTGAACAGGTACAGGTTGAACTTGTTGGATTTGCCAATGTTGATAATGTTTTTTAAAGTTAAAATAGTGTAGTCAGTTTTTTGATTTGATTTGATTTGATTTATTCTTTCAAGCATGTAAAAACAGTTGATATGACAACACACATAATTTTACACATAATCCAATATCAATTTGCTTATACCTAGTACATGCTTGAATGGAGTAGGAAGAAGTCAGACTTATCCAGTCCTACCCCATGACATCATCTTACCATCATTGGTTTGCAAGCAGTAAATGATTCACTTCTACCCACACACATATTATACTAAAAAAAGAATATAACAGTGTTAACATTCTTACATAATTACATTCTTAAATAATTATCTTCTACACCACACAAGTAATATACTAAAGAATTATTACAAAGTGTTA